ATATATATATATATATATATATATATATATACAACCAAATAAATAAGAAACGTATATTATTTTCAAATAGTTGTATCTCAGCCAAATATTGTCCTATCCCAACAAACCATACATCAATGGAAAGCTTATTTATTCAGCTTTCAGATGATGTAGAAATCTCAATTTTGAAAAATTGACACTTAAGACTGGTTTTGTGGTCCAGGGTCACATATGCATAATTATTATATTTATAATGTTGATTTTTGGCGAATTTCATGAGGGTCAACACATACAGCATAAACAAAAAGTAAACACTTCTAAAACGTTGACATTATTTTTACTTTCTCATTTGGAGGCACAGAAAATGGTTTTCTTTTCACTTTCCCTCGATGTCGGTCTACCGCTGCCCCAGTCCAGACTCCTCTACAGCCCTTTCTATCCTGTGAACAGGTGCGGAGTCGGGAGCGGCGCAGGCCTCGGCAAACCCGCTGGAGTTCCTGAGGAGCCAGCCGCAGTTCCAGCAGATGCGTCAGATCATCCAGCAGAACCCGGCGCTCCTGCCGGCGCTCCTGCAGCAGCTGGGCCGCGACAACCCGCAGCTCCTGCAGGTGGGTGGAGCTCAGCACTGAGCCGCTGCGGTCGGACGCGCGCCGCTGAATGTGCGTTTATTTTTCTGTGCAGCAAATCACGCAGCATCAGGAGCGGTTTGTGCAGATGTTGAACGAGCCACACGAAGGCGAGGCCGGAGCCGCTGAAGCTCCCAGCGCACCACAGACCAACTACATCCAGGTCACGCCGCAGGAGAAGGAGGCCATCGAGAGGGTACGCTAACAGTGCTTAAAGATGAAGTGTAATTTCTGACAACATACAGGAAAATGTCAAATTTAGTTATACTAGTTATCCATTTGGTCACGCTAATATCAAAGAGATTACACAAAAAATGTGAAAACAATTTAATCATTCCCTTTATTTCAGTTAATATTAAGCCCATTTTTAAAGCTGCAAATGTGTTTTAAATTAAAATAAAATACTAATAAACCTATCCACTTGTACTTAAAGTCAGCATGAAATGACATTTGCAATGATAAGTAAATTATTTTATATAAATAAAATGAAATAATAAACTATAAAAAAGATTTATTTCAATTAACATTTCTCATTTTTTAGTTTAACTTGAAATAGTAAAATAATAAAAACTAAATAAACTAAACCTAATAAATAAAAAATAATAAAACTATATAGACGTGTTTTAAAAATGGAAAAAGCATTACTAAAACTTTAACAGAAAGTGAAAATATAAAAAAAATAATAATATAAAAAAATATAAAAAAACTAATTCAAAAATTATAATAGTATATATATGATAAAATGATCAAATAAAATAACTGCTAGAAGTATTAATAATTATATATATATATATATACTTATTAATACTGCTAGAAGTATTAATAATTATATATATATATATATATATATATATATAGCATAAATAACACTAGTAATGATAATTATAACAAATACTAAATTTCAGGGTCAACAAAAATGTTGTTACTTGAAATAAAATAAACTTTAACTAAAATAAAATACAATATAAAAAAAAAAAACTTTATTTCCAGCTAGCTACTGAGGCAACATTTTTTATATTTTAATTTATTAAAAATGATTAAACAGTCATTTCACGCAACATGTTTTAACATTTTATAAAATTGTGTTGTGTTTTCTAGTTAAAAGCTCTGGGGTTTCCAGAGGGACTCGTCATCCAAGCCTACTTCGCCTGCGAGAAAAACGAGAACCTCGCCGCGAACTTCCTGCTCCAGCAGAACTTTGATGATGAGTGAACGTTAACCGTTTAGATGCGACGACACTCGGAGGACGGCGACGGAGACAATGCAAGCGCTTGGCCACATGTTGCGCGTGTGTTTGTGAATGTGTGCGTTAAAGCGAATAGGACGTCGACTGGTCTTCCATGATTATTTTCATGGAGTTTAAACTGAAGCCATGATGTGACGTTCTATCAGCACAGCTAATGTTTTTTTTTTCGATTTATATATAGCCGATCCTCCTCGACGAGGTGTCTGTTGTCTGTCTGGTTTCTGCTGCTATCTCTGCTGTGTGCGTCGAGTTAAGTTTTATTTATCACCGTTAAAAACCTGCCAAAAAAGGTCATCGTTCATTTCTCGCCATTGTTTTTCCAGTATTAATAATAATAGACGTTTCAGTCAAGATGGATGCCAAATTTAATTTGTCGCCAATGAAAACAAGCCTTTGATGGATAGACGTACGTATTTTCAACAAGTTGTACCATTTTTGTTGCTGGAAGATTTTTGTCAAATCGAGTCACAGTTGCGTCAAATTAAATATGGCGTCTACTTCCACCATGTTACATAATTTTTAGTGTTTACTTTTCTTTCCATGCGAGCCTCTACTGTGTAAAATACAATGTTTATGCAGTGGATGTCACCAAACTACTACTTTTGAACTCATCTGTTCCCCTACGTTAAACCATTAATATTATAAATAAACCAAATGTTTTGCACTGCATGGGTATTTTGGTATCTTTAAACCCATGTTCAAAATAAGAACTGTCGATAACGTCTACAATTACGAGTTCTTGGTACAAAACAGCATTGATCGTTGAGATGTCACGATCCAGTTGGCTGCCTAACTATATTTTATTTCCAAGTTTATTTCTGTTATGAAATACGGTAATTTCACCCCAAAATTAAAATTCTGTCATCATTTACTCACCCTCCACGTCTTTCTTCTGTTGAACGCAACAGGAGATATTTTGAAGAATGTTGGTAACCAAACAGTTGACGGTAGCCATTGACTTCCATAGTATGGGAAAAAATACTATCAAAGTCAATGGCTACCATCAACTGTTCGGATACCAACATTCTTTTTCATTTCATTCTTACTTTTCGTTTTTTGGTGAACTATCACGTTTTTTTGGTGAACTATCACTTTTAACTTTAAAGTTCCCGCTATAACCAGTTCAGTATGGAGTAGAAACTAAATGAGCAGTGGTTTTGAATGGAGCCCGAAATGCTGCAACAATCGTAGGTATTTAATGTGGTGAAGCATCTGAATGTGGTCGAGTGTCTCAGTGGGTCTCGAAAACATCATAAAAATATGCAGTGTAATTTGAATATTTGTACATATTCGAGTGAAGGAGAAAACCGTGTTGTCTTGGTCTCTGTTGCACACTTAAGACAGTGACAAACATAATTAGAAACTGGAAATAGATGAAATCACAGAGCTAGATGCAATGCTTGAAGTGGATGCAGAATGCATATATTTTTTATATAAATGATGTGTCCTGCTCCTATAGTTTTGAGTTAAAAATGCTGGAAGGGTATTTTTATCGAGTACGTTGAAAAATCTATAGGTGTTCTGACAGGTACAGGCAAGACTAAGCGCCCTGTTTACACTAGGTGATGCAGTTTTGGATTTTCATTTCAGCATTTTATATCGTTTTTTTCATCTTGGGGGATTTGATGTGTGGAGAAAGTAAACATGGATGAGTTTGGTCTTAAATGCATCAGCACAAAAGGATTTGCTGAGTGGTTTATGAATGTATTGTTTCAGTGGTGTGTGAAATAAATTGCTTTTAAAAAGCTTCATTGAAGTCTCCAAATACTGGATACTGCTTCAGCTGTCTGGTTTCATTCATTAGTAGTGGATCCATAATCAGACGGCCCATATGCTTCTACAACCCCAAAAAGTGTGCTTTCAAAAAATACTATGGTATTAAAGGGTTAGTTCACCCCAAAATGAAAATTCTGTCATTAATTACTCACCCTCATGTCGTTCCAAACCCATAAGACCTTTGTTCATCTTCGGAACACAAATTAAGATATTTCTGATGAAATTGAGTTTTGTTTTCAGGGTTGGAGCTGAACTCTGCAGGACTGCGGCTCTCTAGGACAGAACTTGCCTACCCCTGGCTTCGGGGAAAGCGTGCGTATGCGTTGTGATACTCTCTAAAATGGCGGAAGACATAACTCGGGGGAGAAGAATTGTTGAAAAGAATTTTATTTTTGTTTTCTTTGTGCTCAAAAAGTATTCTCGTAGCTTCGCAAAACTGAAGTTGAGCCACTCCTTCTCCCCTGAGTTACGTCTTCCGCCATTTTGGAGAGTACCCAAGAGCGTAATCGATGTAATCAGGGTTGTTTACGTTCGGGGGAGAAATCGCGCGCATGAACGTAATCAGCGTTGTTTATGCTTAGGGCAGGGGTAGGCAAGTTCGGTCCTAGAGAGCCGCAGTCCTGCAGAGTTCAGCTCCAACCCTAATCAAACACACCTGAACAAGCTAATCAATGTCTTCAGGATTACTAAGGCTATAGGCAGGTGAGTTTTGTTTTCAGGGTTGGAGCTGAACTCTGCAGGACTGCGGCTCTCTAGGACAGAACTTGCCTACCCCTGGCTTCGGGGAAAGCGTGCGTATGCGTTGTGATACTCTCTAAAATGGCGAAAGACGTAACTCGGGGGAGAAGAATTGTTAAATAAATTGTTATTTTTGTTTTCTTTGTGCTCAAAAAAGTATTCTCATAGCTTCGCAAAACTGAAGTTGAGCCACTGATATCACACGGACTGCTTTACCGATGTCCTTACTACGTTTCTGGATCTGGGAACATTTCAGTAGCGTTGCTGTCTACGCAGGGTCAGAGAGTTCTCACATTTCATCCAAAATATCTTAATTTGTGTCCCGAAGATGAACGAATGTCTTACGGGTTTGGAACGACATGAGGGTGAGTAATTAATGACAGAATTTTCATTTTGGTGTGAACAAACCCTTTAAAAGATTCCCATATATATTCCACAGTATTTACACTGTGCTTGAATTGTAATTACCATAATAACCATGATAACCCAATTTAAAAAAATATTGATAGTAATTCCTGTTAATTTTGCGAGAACTCAAGTGTAAGTGTAAGTATCCCTGTCTGTCACGCGGGAGACCGGGGTTCGATTCCCCGATGGGGAGGATGGCAATCTTTTGAAAACTCATTTCATTTTCAATGGGTTTAAGACAATTACATTTTTTATGACTAGAGCTTAAGAACAGAAAAAGATTTAGTTAAGGTTAGGTGGAGAATCAGGATGCTCCTCCACCTGACATCAGTGTCACTTCTGATGATGTGCTCCAGGTGGACGAGGAGTTGTTTGTGGACTGTGAGCTTTTGGCCCAGCTAAACCCATACTTCCAAACCTCATTTTTCGGAAGTGGACAGAACATTGAGATTAAGGGAGTTGGTCTGCAAGCACAAAATCATGCCCGTGTTTTGTTAGTTGCAACGCTCTAGACATAGAGGAGTGATATTTCAAGATAAAAAACGTCTTGTTCTGAGATGCACACAGAACTTAAACTTGGATGCTTCAAAAAAAGCCCCATATTAAAACTACTACACTTCTAATGTCAGGGCATGTCAAAACTTTTCCAGGCCCCAAAACACCCTCGGACCCCAGAGGGTTAACCATAATCATTTGCATTGTGAACAGCCAACCAGAACTATTTACACAGTATTGTGGTGTTATATCGAAAGTCAAACATTTGAACTTCACATTTCATTATATGACAAGATCATACCACAAAACCCCCAAAAGTAATAAACTCCCAAAGTAATATACACTATATATGGGTTAGACATGCTCAGTCATCCAACGTCTACCCCTTGTGGTTTGTTGTGGTATCGACTTGGACAAAACAAGAAAGGGACCAGAGCATCAGAACTGAGAAAGATTTAGTTGAGGAGGATCAGGATGCTGTCAATGTTGCTCCTGACACAGTGCTTCAGGTGGAGGGGGAGTTGTTTTTTGTGAACCGTGAGTATTTGGCCTAGATGAGTCCCTACTTCCGAGCCTTGTTTTTTGGCGGTGGTAAGGAAA